GGAAAAAAAAAAAAGTAATTTGGACAGGTTAACTCGGGTTCAATTCAAGTCATAAAACCCCCAACCTGATTTCAACCAAACCCAACTGCACAACATGTCTACATTTTTAAACTCGGGATGAATTCGGGTTATACCATTCTAGTCAAATATGGGTTCAATTCGTCTTCAATTCCCAAATTGCACAAGTTAGACTAAAGTTCAGGTTCAACTTGAGTTGGAGCCAAATTAATTTTCGGGTTATGCAGCTAGGGGTAGAATTTGGGTTGGGTCTCAACAATCTCAAGCCTAACCAGAGTACTGCCCCGGGTATAAATTGTGTAGATATTTTTTGTCCAATCCCAACTCAAGTATTAAAAATCACTGTGCAAGCACTGAATTTTTCAGATTGGGTTCGGGTTAGGGTGCCAAAATTTCACCCCTAATTCTGAGCATGCCTATAAGAATGAAACCTTAACATTTACTAAAATTAAATCATGATTATGCATTTGATCATGAGCAAATCAAATGCATATCTTGCAGAAAACATTTTTGTAAGTTACCTGGAGCAATGTATCCATATGTGCCTGCAACTGTGGTCCAGTTTGAAGCATCAGACTTCAAGAACCTGGCAGTGCCAAAATCCGAGACACGAGCCTCTAGCTCCGAGTTTAACAGAACATTCTTGCTCGATATGTCACGATGAATTATCAAAGGAACACAATCATGGTGCAAATAAGATAGAGCATAGGCCACACCCTTAACAATTTTCACCCTCTTTGCCCAATCTAACTCTTTTGCTCCTTTCTCACTACTCAAGTTCTCTGCCAAGCTTCCCCTTTCCATGAACTCGTAAATCAGGACGTGGTTTCTTTCATCAAAACAGTATCCATAGAGTTTCACAATGTTCCGATGCCTTATTTCTGTCAATTTTTCTATCTCATTTTTAAAACTCTCAATTCCTTCAGTTGGGGAGATCAGTTTTTTCACTGCTAGTACTTGACCACTTTGTAACTCGGCCTTATAAACTTTCGCGGATCCTCCCGCCCCAATACAATGCAAATCGTTGAAATCATTAGTGGCATTGATGATATCTTCATACACAAAGTTCCCATCAAAATTACAAATGTAAAACAGTTTTTCTCTCATCAAAGGAGACTCATCTTCCTGTCGATTCCTCAGGTTCTTGCACAAGTACAAAACAGTAATCACTATGGTGATGAACAATGAGCCTGTGGTTGGAAGAACAATAGTCAGAAGTTTTTGGCGTTTGTTACTAGCACTCTTTTTCAAAAATGTTTCATCACATGGCCTCAAACCATGAATTTCACCACATAAATCTTCATTGTAGGACAAGTTAATGTCTAACAAGCTGACCATACCACCTAGCGAATTGGGTACTCTACCAGTGAGATTATTGTGGGAGAGGTTCAAATTTTCCAAAGCTTTGAGATCACCAAGCTGGGGTGGTATCTCTCCACTAAGTAAATTGTAACTCAGATCAAGAAAATTCTGCAAGGCATCAAGATTACCAATCTTATCCGGGATGGTACCATTTAAGCGATTATCGCTCAAATTTAACGACAACAATCTGAAACAATCCCCAATTTGATCTGGGATTGGTCCAATTAACATGTTGGATGAGAGGTGTAGGTGTTGCAGATTGGAAAGTACCCCAATGTCAGGTGGTATGTGATCCGAAAAACTGTTATCATTCAAGATTATAGAGGACAGGGCAGAGAGATTTCCAAGTTGTGGGGGTATTTCTCCAGAAAGTTGATTAGAAGACAGATCAAGGACAACTAGTTTGTTCAATTCATCAATCTCTTTTGGGATTTTACCAGTAATCATATTCCCAGCAATACTCAAGACGGTTAAATTCCGGGATTTTCCCCAATTTGATGAGAGATTACCTTCCAACCTGTTGTAGCTCAAATCAATGTAAGTAAGGTTTGGATAAATTCCAAAATCTTGGCCTAAATTTCCAGTAATTTGGTTATATTCAAGCCGGACTCTGAATAAACTCGGGCAGTTCTTGAGACTTATCGGAATAGGACCAGTGAAATTGTTATAGGCTGCTGTGAAATTTACAAGCTTTCCACCTTTACAAACTTGCTGTGGTAAGTGACCACTAAAATTGTTTTCTGCCAGATGAAGAACCACCAACGACGAAAAATTTCCGATTTCTTCAGGTAAAGAACCGGAAAAATTGTTTATGAACAAGCGCAAATCAGTTAATTTTCTCAAGTTCCCAAAACTCGGGGGGATATGACCTGAAAATTGATTTTCGTTCAGGCGTAACGTTTGCAGCTGGCTTAGATTACCCAAAGATGGAGGTATGGGACCGAAAAAGTTATTCCCGTCGAAAACTAGTGCAACCAAATCCTTCATATTTCCTAATTCTGAAGGAATATGACCACCGAGCATAGTTTCCTGGACATGAAGCCTCTGGAGACTAAATAGTCCAGTTTTTGGCATGTCTGTTCCACCAGGGAACAAACCTGGTGGAAGTTCACCGGTTAATTCGTTTCGTGATAAATCGAGCTCCAAGAGCTTGGTAAGATTGGAGAGAGAAATAGGTAACGAACCATTGAGAAAATTAGTGGAAAGATCGAGGATTTCGAGGTTTGAAAGCATACCTATTTCAATAGGAATGATGCTGGAGAGTCTATTTTCTTGGAGGTCGAGTCGAATAAGATTTGGAAAGGAAGAGAAATCAAAGTGGTGGAGAGTACCTTGTACACCATAGAATGCAAGGTTTATTCCTATTATGTTACCTGCTTCATTGCATGTAATTCCAAGCCATTTGCATGGGGTTATAGCTGTAGAATTAGGATCAGTAGTATTTTCTGAAATGACCCATGAACTTTGAAGAATTGTTTGGTTTACCAGGCTTTGTTTCCATTTGAGTAGAGCTTGAGCTTGAGTTTTCTGATCTGGTTGAGCAGTGGAAGAAGGTATCAAAACAAGCCCAACAACCAAAAGTGATAGAAACAGATAGTTCCTTGAGATGGCCATAACTGTGGCTTTCTATGGGTGCTGATTTGAAATTGCACCAAGAACAAATTTGCCTGGTGGACCATTAGCTATCATTACTAGCTATAAAGGGTAAATTACACATTAACCCCCTCTACTATGGTTGTCGTCGCACATTATAATCTAAACTATCATGTTTTTCATATTGCATCTTCAACTATAACCATCAGTTTTATACTGCCCAAATAATTGGTGTTAGGCTTGTCAATGGATCGGGTTTAGATCGGATTCTAATTGATTCAAATCCGATTTAAAAAAGTCCGATCGGAATCTTATCTGATAATCTGTCGAATTTTATCTTCTTGGTCCATATTCGAATCCGTTAACAATTCACCAATCCGAATAACTTAATTAACTACTTTTTAACAAATTATACCTAAATTGCAACTAATTTTTTTAAACAATCACTTACTTTTTTAATATTTATATAAAAATATATAAATAATTCAAATCAGATCAGATATAAATATATCTAAATCCGAATCTATTAAATTTATTCAATCGAATTCGAATTCGGGTTTGGATTAACTGTAAAAATATTAATCCCTAACCAATTATTCGTATTCGAATTCGGATCAAAATCCTATCTATTGATATGCCTAGTTGGTGTGCACTACAAAGTTTACGGAAAGTTATCTCACATTACCGCTGAACTATTCAATTTTATTTGACGTTTTCTTGACCTTGTGGATATAATCCAATTCGAAAGACAAAGAGTATTAACTTTTGGAATAATGTGAAACTAATTCAAGTAGTTGGGGGAATAGTGTGAGAAATTCACTCGTTCAAAAGACAAAGTGCTTAGGACCATATTTAAGGGATTCAAGTGTAGTTTGCTCTTACTATTCTTATTGTCGGCTGCCGTGTGAAAGGCTTGTGGACTTGTAATCACATAAAAGTTGACTCTTGTTGTTTTTTCAACTTTCCCCCATTCTACGTAATCAACTTGACAATGAATCGATAGCCTATGTCATTTTCCCAATCTTCAACCCAATTGTTTTTCCTAATTCAAATCCTGTCTAGTATACTTTTTTTCTTCTCAAATTTCTTCACAAATATGTAATTTATTGCCTACTCGAGATCATTGAGTCCATATGATACATCAAAGATCTAAGATCACGATGTCTATCTGTGAAGAGGTCATTATTTTTTATGAATATTAAATATACCCACAAAGTAAAAACTAATCGGCACAACTGCACCGTCATGGATTTCATTGGGTGCATCTTACAACCATAAATTTCATGAATTGGTTGACTTTTAAACTCATGAATTTTTGGAAATTTTTGTGTATTTCATCGGGTTTAGGTTTTAATTGTGGTGATTGTGATTCCTTGGTTGGTGCTTGATTGATGGGCTAGTGGTGGTGGTGGCGGCGGCTTAATCGTGGCGGCTATGGAGGTGATGGTTCTTCATGTTTAACTGGGAAATTGTAGTGGTGATGGTGCTTTGGTGATTGAGATATTGATTGTGGAAGTTGTTGTGGGCGGAGAGAGAGAAAAAGAGAGAGATTTGAGGGAGACAACAATCAGGGGCGGGATTGAGATATTGATTGTGGAAGTTGTTGTGGGCGGAGAGAGAAAAAAAGAGAGAGATTTGAGGGAGACAACAATCAGGGGCGGCCCAGTCCAACAAAGACTGTTTTTTAGGCCCCATATTTTAAAAGGATCCTAAAATTTTTAGGTTTATAATTGGGAAATTTTAAGGTCTTGTAAAATAGTTACTCAAAATATCTATATAATAAAGTAATTTACAATTCAAATTTTAAAAGATAAACAAAATGACTTTTGCTATTCGTATTTGAAATCACTTAAAATTTTTATTTTAAAGTTAACTTAACGACTAATATTAACACCCTAAATTTAATAGGAAAAATAGGCCCTTAAGGGTGTGTTTGAAGTGATTTTTTAAAAATACTTCTAGAGATTATTACTCATAAATATTAAAAAAAAAAATAGTGTTTGAAACCGTCCCCCACTACCTCTACCGCCATCGCCGTCACCACCATCATCGCCACTGCTATTGCCGTCACCGCTGCCGCTACCACCATCGCCGTCGCCACTGCCGCCACCACCATCAATGCCGCCGTCGCTGCCACTTCCACCACCCCCACCACCGCCGCCACCACCATCAGCTCCATCACCCCCACTGCCCACGCCGCCCCCGCCACCACCACTGCCGCGGTCACCATCACCACCGCCACCACCGCCACCATCACCGCCGCCACCGTTGCTGTCGCCACCACTACCACCATTATTGCCGCCGCTCTCGCCACCACCACGGTTATTGCCATCCACCACAACCATCACCACTGCCGCCCACCACCTCTCACTCCCATTACAAACCGATGCTTAAATTCCTTTATCTATTTTCTATGTTTGTGATTTAATTTTGGATATAAATACAAATATTTTTATTATTTACTATTTTTTACTACTCTGTGCCTTCAGGCGCATGCAATAACTAGTATTTAAATATTGTATTATCTACTTTTGCTAACTACTTTTTCAAATTCACTTCAACAACGTTATCTATTTTAGCTAAGCATTTCAACTAACTTTAACTAACTTTCAGTAATAAAATTCAAAAAATAGCAATTTAACTATACATTGTATAAATTTAATCAATTATGGGTTACAAGAGTATATATCATAAAAGATGGGTTATAAGAGTAAATATCATAAAATACTTAGAGGGTTTTACTAGATTTTTAAATTTTTTGGGAATTTTGCTGAATTTTTAGAAGAGTTTTACTAGATTTTATGAGGGAGTTTGTTGGATTTTAATTAACTCACTGTCTTCCCGAGAGAGAGAGAGAGAGAGAGAGAGATTTACTTACCAAAATAAAAGAGAAAAATAGCAAGTCAAAGATGTCATTTGTCACAAGTAAAAGAAAAGGTCAATTTAGAAATTGGAAGACCAGAATGCCCCTCCCATGGCTAAACATTGAGTCCTGGGATAGAGGATAATTTGGTCTAGTTATCTCATTCTACAATGAAGGTAATTGGGTAAGATATATATCATATTCCATCAAAGACCACTAACGTGGTGCCCAAATTGTCTTTCAATGCAAAAAAAAAAGCCTAATGTCAAGGTCTCATTGCTTTGAAACTAATATCAAGTTCTCATTAGCACAATTGTCCGACGACTATCTAAAACTTCTACCAAATGGTCCATCTTTGTCCGAGAAAAACTAATTTAGTTACGGAACTAATTTTTGAAAATCTAAAATGATAGAAGACTCGTTAAGGTGTCAAAATATGAATTGACGCCTTAGTATGACACAAATAAAACACAAAATTAGAGGGTTTGAAATTTTTTTAAGCCGGTTTAGTAAACGAGTAGGTCCGACACAATTAATAAATAAATTGTGTAATGGTAAAAACCAATCAAAAGAAATACACGATGCGACTTGTTTATACATATACCAGTTATACACGGTTCATACATAACATAACTTCGATATGTCATAATTCGTTAGACACAAATTAATAAACGAATTGNGATTTGAATTGTAAAATTTAAAATATTTGATATTTGATATTTAATTACAATATTTTTTGTCCAAGTATATTATTTTAAATTTAAGGGGTTTAAGTATTATATACCTACAAACTTCATAAAGGTTTAAGTATAATTTATTAACTAATATATTTGTAACAGGGTCTAAGTGTTACGCGCGTACAAATCTCGGAGGATCTGTGTGTAATATTTCAAATATCAAGGGTCTGAGTGATTAAGTGACAAACTTCAAGAAATCTAAGTGTAATTCTCCTAAGTTTTAATTACTGTTGAATCTGAGAAGAATTAAATATAGTTAACTTTATTCTTATGTCAAAAAAGACTGTATCCTTTACGCAAATCTATGACTCTCAAGTAACCATATGGTTATGCCAAGACCCGACCTCAGAAATCCATAAACATTCACAGTAGATAGTTTATCCAAAGTATGCCACATGCTCAATACATGACTTATATTAACAAACAAGGAAAGGAATATAGTCAATAAATTTTCCCAACTCTACGTATACATTCATAGAGAGCAAAACATACTATAGAGAGAGAGAGAGAGAGGACCATCTAGTTGTGACCTGTCCTTATTTCAAGTAGTAGAGACACATCATGCATGGTAGGCCGAGTTTTGGGATCAGCACACAAACATAATTGTGAAAGCTTGAGAATAGCATTCAGATCATCTTCAATCTTTTGATTCACAGGAAATGAAAGACGATGGTCCAACACATCCTCTAGTTTTATGCCTTGCCCAAGTGATGATGAGTTCATACTAGAAATCACTTCTCCTGGATGTGTTCCCATCAAAACTTCAAGCACCAGAACACCAAAGCTATATACATCACATTTTTCTGTCACAGCCATGGTGTAAGAAAACTCTGCCACAGAAATATGTTCAATTTGGTGGTTGGGGGGGGGGGG